GTGTTGGGGGAGCCTGGTGTGGAAGAAGCCAGCGCCCGGAGGAGCGGCCCTGGTTGCGGGCACTTGGCGGGGCCCAGCGCTCCCCTGGAAGTGCTCCTCCAGTAGAGACAGCTGGGAGGCTCCCGCCAGGATGCTTCTCATTATTTATATGTTAATATGTTTGTAAACTCATGTACAGTTTTTTGGGGGGGAGGCCGTGGGGGGTTAGGAATTACAAATAGAATCATTTGCCGTCATCCTCAAGCAGCAGGCGGTCAGGCCAGTGTCTAAAACTGTCAGGGAGCAGGAGCCAGCCCAGGAGCGCGGCCTCGGGCGTGGCATCTACTAGGAAAGTAAAGGGCAGTCACCTAGCATCTGCTCTGCGCTCCTCCTTTACTGCCGAGCCTGTTTCCGAGTGGGCCAGGCCCTGGGGTGGGGGGCACCCGCCTCCATCCTAGGCTTCTCCCGAGAGTGAGGCCCAGACCCACTGTCCTGTGGCTGTGGAGCCGACCCAGGGGATCGCAGCCCAGCTCTGCAGTTCTCGCCTGGACTCACTGAGTGGCCGGCAGCTCCGTGGGGGCTCAGCCGGCACGTCTCAGGCCCTGCCTGTGAACAGCGACCAGGAGGATGGGAGGTCTACCCCTCACTCACCGGGCTGGGCCTCCGCCCTCCCTGGAGCCACAGATGTCGGAGCCGGGCCACCTCTGCCCCGTGGCAGCACGCCTTGCACGGCCACCCTGGGGCAGTGAGCTGGGCTGTGTGGTTGGCATCTGGCAGGAGGGTGAGGCTGGCCCTCCAGTGTGACTGTCTGGAGGTCCTGCTACGCTCCATGGCAGCTCTTCTGTGTGCCCACTGCATCCCTGGCTGGGCAGCCCCGTGCTGGCCTCTGGCCCCCCTGAGCTTCCTGTCGCTCCTTGCGTGCGTGGTGTCCTGTGTGTGTCCCGGAGGACAGGACCGGGAACGTGACGGAGCACACCGGGAAAGCAGGGCTGTTCTCAGCCTGCAGGAGGGTTTTCTGAACGGGAGGACTCCGTATCCCCACACACTTGTTTGTCCCAGAAGCTCCTTTGCGGCTGCAGGTCAGGCGTGGGATTCCTGGGTCCGAGACAGTTTTGCTGCACCCGGGAGGTCTGTTCAGGTCCCTCCAGACCCTGGGTTGGGCAGTGATGGGCTCAGAGCCAGTGGGGACAGTAACATGTGATCCTGAGAGACGGTTGTCCCTACAGCTGGTTTGAGCTCTTGGGACATTCTGAGGTGACTCCTTCCAGAGGCCAGTTCTGGCCAGGACAGTTGGGGGCGGGGCCTACATAGGTGGGCATGTTGCGTTTGGATGGTCTTCCCGGCACGGGCCCCAAGTGCTCAGCACTTGCTTTCAAACCAAGGTTCCTGGGCCAGGAGGCACCAGCCTGCGGGCTGTGGGTTTTGCCTGTCCTTTGGGGAGTGGCCAGGGAGGTGTCCAGCCGGTCTACACCCCCGGCCAGCACACAGTGCTCTGCGGTCAGCCATTTGTCAGAAAACCGCATGGGAAGGGCGGTGCCCAGGGTCTGCTGACCACAGCGCCCACTGGGTCCTGATACTTGGCTGCTTTCTACGGTGTCTCATGGCGCTTCAGGCATAGCCTTGCCCTGGGGATCGCTGTCGGCCATGGAGCTGGAGCCACAGGAGGCAGCCAGCCCATAGCTGATGTCCATGTGTCCAGTCTACTGGTGAAGGGCCCTGGGCTGGAGCTGGGAAGGTGGCCTTGGCCTGGAGTTGGTCCCCGCAGCAGTTCCTTCCCTGTGCTCATGTCTCCACCGTGGCACCGGGAGCAGGTGCTATTGGGAAGGTGCCATTGGTCCACAGACTGTCCACTGGCTTCCCTTGTCCGCTGCCTGGTACCCAGCCCCAACCTCTTGATCTTTGTAGCCACGCAGCTGAGAGCCTCCATGAAGCCCATTCAGAGGGTTCGTTCACTGCGGGGCTTGTTTCTAACCTGTTGGGAGTGTGACGGGCGGGCTGTTGACCCTCGTTTGTCCCAGATAGAAAAACATCTCTTTTCGGGGACACTACAGCCCATAGCAGGGTCCGCGACTTGTCTTCCCTCCTAACTCTTCAACGGTGTCAGCGTCCTCTAGCCTCCCGGGTTGACCATGGCGGTGCTGGCCACTCCCTTATTTCCTAAATCTAAGTGGCGGGGGACCCCTGCCCTCCCTGGACAATGGCTGTTCTCCGTGCACCTGCACATGCTGCCAAGGGCCTGGGCTCCCCTCGGGGGCCCTGGCTCCCTCTGCACCTCCAGCTGGGCCTGTGTCCTCTCCCGCTGCGCCCACTTGTCTTACTGGGTGGGCAGGAGGGAAGGAGGGCAGCCGAGGCCCAGCTCCTTCCACCCTGGACTCCGCTGCATGAATGTCTAGCCCTTTGCACGCTTCCACTCTCCTCTGCTCCCCTCGTGGGCCCAGCTGTCCTGCCAAACCCCAGGCAGGG